GCCATGGAACGATTCCTAAATTCATTCCCTTCACGTAGTAAAGTCAGAAATGGGCAGCAGGTCCTGGTCAGTTGGTTACAAAGATTTTATGAAGTTTACAGTAGGGAACGATCAGGATTTGATGTGTGTGAAGGCCAGATATTAACGTGTTATTACTTGTTCCCTCATTTGTTTAGTCAACGAAATGGACTAAACTATGAGGTGCCAGGCACTAGGCATTTGGGATGCCATGGGGAATAGGGAAAGCTGTGGTGGGAGTGACTGTCCAGCAGGAGAGAAGACCCAGCAGGCAGACAGACATGTTCTGTGAAATTGCTGTTTGTGCAGAGTGCCGGGAGGGGAACCAGGTGGCAAAGCAGACACAATTGGGGGGGTGAGGAGGGCACCTTCTCAAGGGTGGTAGGCTGAAGGGCAAGAGAAGGCCACTCCAGGTAGAAGAAAGAGAGAGCCCAGTGTGTTTGTGGACAGAAGCACAACATGGCAGGGACAGACTGAGTGAAGGCACGAGGAGGCTGACATGAGGTGGTGCCTGCAGCAGCAGCTAGGTTAGCAAGAGCTGCCACCTGTCAGGGCAAGGGTTCAGATTTTCTCCTAAGCAATGTAGGAAGTTTACAGGCTCCTTCATGACCTGGCCTCTGCCCACCTTCTGGAATCCTCAGCTCAAATTAAACATGCTAACTCCCTCAAATTGCGGTAGTCATTTTCCTGCCTCTTCCCCACAACATGCTCTTCCAGCCTCCATGCAAGTGGAACCGCTCCCTGCCACCCTCTTCCCTCCTTGCTTAGTTAACGCCTCTCCTCCTTTGTTCCTGTTCCTCATCTGCCTCAACCAGGGCACTCCTTTTCCTCATGGTGGGGATTCCCACCACTGGCCCTTCTCTTCTATTGAGTCACTGTTCCAGAAGCCCTGGGGCCATCTTACTCCAACACACTCTGTCACCAAACCCACATCTGCTCACACAGCCACAGTGTGGCCAACATATTCATCCCACTGCTCCCCGCTCACCCACTGCCCTGACCCATGAGGCTCAACGCTGAGGGAGCAGCCACCCCTGTGCTTTAACAGGAAGAGGGGGTGAGTAGGGAGAGGCCAGGCCTGGGCCGCAGCACCCACCCCAGAAGTGGACCCACTGAATGTACTAGTTGAATGAGTGAATGACTTTAGAGTTGTGCCTGGCCGTGGGGGTTGGGGAGCATGTCCTGTCCTGTTCAGGGGCTGAGGGCCATGAAGGTGTCACTGGGTCTGTGCCTTTCATGGGAAGGTGCTTGGTTGGAAGTGACCCTGGAGTCTGCCTTTCTCCCTCACAGATATACTCTTTTTAAAGAGTGAACATGTCCAAATCCACATGCCTGACTGAAAATGAGCTTTGAGAATAGAATCCATAACTTAAGCTGCTCTTTCTGTAATTGAAAGCAGTGCAAGAGAGGATGACTTGTAATAGCCGCCCCCTATTATCAGACAGCCAGCCTGTGTGGAGCACACGCGGAGCACTGAGGCTGCCCCTTCCATCTGTGCCCTGTCCATGCACTGTCCACGATGGTGGCTGGGCACTAGAAACACCATGACTAAATTCTCTCATCGTGGAAAAAATCGGCAACCTTCAAAGTTAGAGCATGTAAATAAGAAGTGAGTTTCTCCTCCCCCTGCCCCCCAGCTGGTTTGACTTTATACCAGAAAAAAGTATAAAGCAAACTGATTACAGTCTTTAAAGAAAAATAAGTTCTATCCCATTGCCTTAATGCCTGCTTTTTAGACATTCACCCTGTGGCTAGCCTACCTGACTACTAAAAACGGTACCTTAAAAGTTTATTTTAGTTTCTTCTCACCCTTGAATTTGGAAATTATTTACCTCCTGTTCATTTCAGCTAGTCAAAAGGAGCATGAAGCCAGTGGGGTGATGGGCATGCTCCCCAGATTAGCCCAGCACTGTAATTATTTGCTTTCTGAATTATAGCATGTGCGAAAATTCAAGGAAGCTGGGGATGTGACTTATACTTGCTGGAGTTTTTTTCTAGAAGGTATAATGAAATTTAATAAAACCTTTTGGAAATTAAAATGAAGCTAATTATGGGCCTCCCTGGTGGTGCAAGGGGTTAAGATGCAACCTATGAAGCTATCCTCAGCCACTGCAGCATGAGTTCGATCCCCAGCCAGGGAGCTACCCACATGGCACAGTGCAGACCTCTCCTGACTCTCCCTCTGACCCCCTCAGCAGTGTGTTTCAGTCATTCCTCCTGTTCTGTTCCCCACTCCGTCTCTGGTGAATCCTTTCATCTCCCGCACCTCTGGACTGTACCCCAGTTCTTGTATATATAATCTTTTTTAAAAAATGAAGCTAGTTGAACTTTCAGCTATTTTTCAGAATTTTCTAGGTCATATTCCTGGGAAGAGGGAAGACTCATAAATCCTAGAGATGTGGAGGAAATTATGTCACTAAAGCCAATAAAATCCTATAGCACAGGCTGGGTTTGTTTTGTGATTATCCAACCCCATGGTCTGGTTAGGGTTTAGGACTCCAAAAGAAAAGGACTCAGCTACTATTGACTAATTCCAGAACATTGGGTAAGTCACTTATTTACTTAGTTTAACTTTCTTAAAGTTGTTTTCAAGGTATGATTTCCCAGCTCCATTTTCCACCATTGGCAAAGTGGTTTTTACGGTAGTTAACCATTCTTGAAGACCAAGGAGAAACACACAGAAAGCAGAAAGCATTTAAAGGTCCCTGCATTTCTCCTCTAAACTGTTACTTATTGACACAGATGAAATCCCCAGGGCTTAGGGAAAATGAGAGAGGACACTGGAAGGTTTAGTTCAGGTTTTAGCTTCCCAATAATCATTATCTTTTCTGAGTCACCTAAGTCCTGCTTTTCTAAGGAATTACTTTTTCTATGGGAAGTTAAATATTTCTTCTGCATAGAGCTACACATCACAGATCAGCCCTTATTTTTGTTTCATTTTGTGTTTTAACATTAAGCAGCTCCCTCACTGATTGGACACTTTCTTAAATGAAGAAACAAAGCATTACTTCACTATTGGTCCTGGCATACTCTAGGGGAACAGAAAACCCCTAAATCACTGACCTGGGATTTAGCTAGGGAGTCAGATACAGGCAACCTCATGCACTATTTTGAAGTGATTTGTTCCTCTGTGCTCACCTCACTGTGCTTTCAATATCTGTTTGTACCCCAGAAAAATTGCAAATGACTCCATATTCTAGATATTGAGGTTTGCTTCCAGACAGCAGAAATGTTCAGTTAAGTTTGCAAATGACATACCAGCATGGTGTTTCTACTCCTAAAAGGACGAAGTGACAAAAATGCAGAAGGCACACCAGAAAAGCCAGCATTTCCACAGTCAGGGATGGACCAAAAAGAACTGAAATCAAATGTGCCTGGTCATAGCAGCACTATCCATAGTACCCAAACAATGAAAACAACCCTTGTCCAGCAACATTGAAATTGACAAAATATGGCCTGTCTGTACAGTGGACTCTTATTCGGCCATGAAAAGGAGTGACATACTAGTCCACACTGCCACCTGGATGCTCCTTGAAAATCAATCCAGTCACACAGACCACATCTTGGCTCATTCCATTTTTATGAAATGCCCAGAATAGGTTAATCCATAGAAACAGGAAACAGATTGGTGGTTGCTACAGGCTGGGTGAGGAGAAATAAGGAGCAATCCTGTGGGGGCATGGAATTTCCTTAAGGCATAATGACCATATTTTAGAACTAGACCATGGGGGTGATGGCTCAACACTGTGAATGACTAACACCATTGAATCATACACTTGACAATGGTTAATATGGTAAATTTTGTCCAGTGTGTATTTTATTACCAAAAAATAATTAAATAAATAAATAGCTTGGGCACATCAGGAAAGAGATTTCTGAGTCAAGCCTGCACCCAAACAGATGGCTTTGGTGCAAGGTAGGTCATAAAATCAAAGGAGACCTGTGAGCAAACGAGGTGGGGGCCTATAACCCTCCCTCAGCAGACCCTTAGAGGGAATATGTGGATAAGAGCAGCAGCCACTCACAGTAGCTGGAGAAGGCCTGGAGGCAACATGGTTGGAGTGGGAAGAACACAGGAGCCATCTTCGGCACAGGGCTGGGGTAGCTTACCAAGGTATTCCAGAGTAGTTGAGTCTGGAAATGCTGGATGACACACAGGCTTTATTTATTTATTTATTTATTAAGGATTTATTTATTTATTTATACAAGCACTGTGTACAGTCAGAAGCGCGGGAGGGTGAGAGAATTCACCAGAGCCAGAGCGGGGAACAGAACAGGCAGACTGAGAAATACACTGCTGAGAGGAGCAGCGGGCGGCAGGAGAGGTCTGCGTGCCATATGGGACCCTCACCCAGCGGGCGGGGATTGAACCGGCACTGCAGAGGCCGCGCCATCAGGGGAGGCCCGACACACAGGCTTTAGATAGCAGGGGCTTTTGGAAGCCTTTAGCCACACAGATGGTAGAACTTACAACATGGAGGTTGCTGTGGATTTAAGTCAAAAAGATAAGGCATTTCTAGACAGCACAGAGATGAATGAAACATGCCACATACCCTATTTCATTAATTCGGTTTATGGGAAGAACATTATCTCTCCCCTCTCCCTCACGAAGAGATGCATGGACTGGAGCAAGTCATTTAGTCTCTCTAAATTCCAGTTTTGGGGCCTCCCTAGTGGTGCAAGGGATTAAGACACAACCTATAAAGCTGTCTGCAGCCACTGCAGCACGAGTTCAATCCCCAGCCAGGGAGCTACCCACATGGTGCAGCAGACCTCTCCTATCTCACCCGCTGCTCCCCTCAGCAGTGTATTTCAGTCAGTCTGCCTGTTCTATTCCTCACTCTGTCTCTGATGAATCCTCTCAACCCCCACACATCTGACCTGTACCCCAGTTCTCATTTGCATAAATAAATAAATCTTTAAAAATAAATAAATTACAGTTTTGTCATCTGAAAAATGGAGATTATTGTATCTGCTAAATCTCACTACTGAGCTGGTTACTTCTTTAATGTCTGCCTTTGCCTCTAAAACATTTGCTTCTCTTGAAAAGCTGCAACTGTGCCCTTCACGTCCACTCTTGACCCAGGAAACCATCACAGGGCCTGATGCCTATTAAGATCTTGGGGAATGGGAGAATGAGAGCAATTCACTCTAGGGAAGAAAAGACAGTAGGAGCCACAAGAAAGCTCTCTGCATGTCCCAGGCAGGACTTTACTAGTGAGAAAGGAAACATGTCTGTTATGTTCCTCTGGAATGTTCAGCCATGACAAGAGGCTAGAATTTGCAGAGATCTGTTTAGTTCTGTGTTACAGGAAGAAATGAGCAACATGGAAGTAATGACTCCCCTGGCTCTCGAGGTATTTAGTCCAGTCTGATAACCATCCAGCCATGCATTTTGAAGAGGTTCAATGTTTGAAAGGGTATTTGAAGTAAACAGGCTCTAAGGTCCTTTCTGAAGCTAAAATCCATTCATTCCCACTCCTACTCTGCCCATGACAGAGTTGCTCGCTGAATGATGATCACTATGCCACGGGCAGCATTGGTAGGTAGCTGGGATAATATAACGAGTTCTCTGACAATTCCTGCCCTCAGGGATCTCACAGTTTCAAAGGGTATAGAGAAGGAAAACAAATAACTATACTAACAGTATAATGTGTCACCTATTGTCTTTCATATCCACACCAGTCTGGTTTGTCTCTCACAGTGCACCAAGACTTGTGGCGAAGGATCCAGGTACCGCAAGGTGGTGTGTGTGGATGAGGACAAAGGCAGCGAGGTTCACGGCATGCACTGCGACTTGAGCCAGCGGCCTGCGGAGCGTGAGATCTGTAGTTTGCAGCCCTGCGAGTACGTCTGGATCACAGGAGAGTGGTCAGAGGTACTGACTGGGGATTTGGTAACTGTCTTCAGTAAGCAATGGTCTGAGTGCAACAGACTGACAAGGGCAGGAATGTGGTAGGGCTGGACCCACCTGCTGGTTATGCCACTGTGAGTTGTGAGTTGTGAGTTTCAGACAAATCCCTGGTCTTCCTGGACCAGAGTCCCATATATGCAGATCTGGGGATCTGCTTGAGATGTTGCTGAGCCCCCATCAATTCCACATTCTGTATTTCATTCTGATATCTTATTGGTATAAGGAAGGAATTAGAAGAGTCTGCATTTTTATATGATGCCTGCCAATGCCTGAAGAAATGTAAGAATAAGAAAATAGCTTCATGAGAAGGAGACAATAGAGGAGGGTGAAGACTATGACAAACTAGCATGTGCTGTGTAAAGGAAGCAGGCTCTTTTACTGAGGCCATGCAGAACTATGGGTCCAGTGTTACCAAACTACTTTTTTCAAGAGGACAAAAATCTAGACAGTTAAGTGAGCTCCACTAATTTTAAAGGGTGGCCTCAGTTTTTGTTTAAAACATTGCATGGGGCAAGCCAAACACTTTCACGGATCAGATGTAAGTTACCTATTTAACAACCTCTGTTTCAGAGGAACAAAACAAATGTCTATTTTTTCTCATTTCTTCCTGCATTTAGTACCTCCCTAGACACTTATTATAATAAACCATGTCATAACTGCATGATTATATTATTTTCAAATCCTGTATTTTATTCAAATACTGAAAGACTTGTAACATCAAAATACCCACCTAAAAGGAATTTAGCTGCTTTTCAGCAAAGGTTCGTACTGTTACTAAGGTCTCTTCAAAGTTTGACAGGACAGCAAGTTCATCTTTGAATGGGATGAATATTTACATTTAGATGATATGTGTGTTGTATGTTGAGGTGTTTCTGTATGAAAACTGATCTTAAGGCTCTTTGTGCTGTCTCTGCGCTCCCCCCACCTGAATTGAGGAGGTCTGGACCAGAGGGGAAAAAAGGGTTTGTTGCCCCTTGACTGATACATGAATTTCCCAGCTTGGGAAAATGTCCTGGTTTGGGCCCAAAGTACATCGCTAATGCAGGGAGCCCATATTCTTATTTTGCCATTTTGTTTTACTGTTTAGAAAAGTACTCCTCACTATGATAAGACAAGCATGACAGTGGGACATGGAGAGTCAGCAGTGACACCTGCCCCCCCCTCCCCAGGACTGAGCCTCTTACACTCAAAACTGGTGCAAAATGGATTAAGGAGCCAACATTTTTGTGATGCATTTGACAGCTACCTAAGAACATATTCTGTTTTAGCTTATTTTGAGAGGGAGAGGCCTGGGAATAAAATCTGCCCATATTTGGGGCTCAGTTCAATCAGTAAATGCCCATCTCTCACTGCATCCCCAACACAAATCTTTTGTTCCTGGTTGTGGGGTTAAAGGAACTCAGCTCTGGCCTTCAGATATATAGCCTGGTTTAAATTAGTTCACACTGAAGTCAGTGCATGCAGGCGCTAGATTAAACACTCTGAAATATCCACCCCTGGGACAGACAGCATTTGTTGGCCATCTGTCCACACCTGAACCACTCTGGGCTAGCCTCACACCCCTGGCCCAGCGTCAGCTGGGTCTCCAAGCATTTGAACGTCGGCAACCAAAGGAAGAGACGTCACAGAGCATTTCCAGTTCTGCAACCAGCTGGAAGGGGAGCGCCGGGGTGCTGTGCATGCCTGTGGCTGTGCCTGCGCCCTCCTGCCTTCGGAGCTCTTGCAGGAGAGCCTTCTCCCTGGAAAAATTACAGGAGAGGAGCCCACATGGTTTAAAGCAACAGCTCAGGTGACATTAGAAAATGTGACACTATAGCCTTTCATAGACATTGAGAATGGATAGAAGCTGTGTTCCCAGCAAGAACATAACACATGCTACACACTGTGGGGGTGCCTGGCCCTCCCCAAAGAACCTCTGATTTAGGGATTCTGATTCTCTACCTTAATTTTACGTAGCAACTTATAGGAAATGGCCAGTTATTGGATGCCATTGCCTTAAAAAAATCATCAAAAGTAAATTCATTGTGATTCAGTTTTATTTTTAAAATATTTTATAAATATTAAGGAGGCTGACCATGCTGTAAAATCTTATAAATAACCAGTTAATGTCTCACCCCAAAAGGGAACTGAGACACTAATAAGATATTTGTTCCTTCTCCTTTTCTTATTGTTTATTTCTGTAATACTGTGTAATTATAGGAAAGGGGTTAAAAGCTTTGGGGTTGGGGGTAGTGGGAGAGAGAGAGAAGCAGAAAGTTGAGCTAGGTCCATAGCCAGAGTAGAAGGAAGTAAGTGGAGGACAGATGGGAAAGCAAACCCCAGAGAATCAGAGAGTAGGGAAGGGCTGTCCTGAGTCCTCTCTTGGCCAAGAACTTGGATTTCACACTCAACTCTTCAAACTCTTCACATCCAGCTTGCTCACGTCTCTCCTGCAGTCATTGTAGGTTTAGCAATGCATGATTTGTCAGCCAGTGAGTCCCGCTGTGCTTGCTGTCAGTTGGACCCATGACAGCTGGAGCACCACCCCAGCCCCCCCGAAGCCCGGAGAAGGCACCCCCACCCGGAAAAGAAGTCATGGCAGCACTCCCGCCCAGAAGGCATTGGTCATACAGGGTTCAGGTCTCCAGCGCTCTGGGGGCCGATGCTTGAATTGCATAAATAAGCTAATGAAGTGAGCACTGTGCAGCAGTGCCCAGGGGTCAGCGCTGGCTGTGGAAGTCAGGGGCCTGTTGGGGGCTCCCCCCAGGCAGCGCTGCAACCTCTGCTTTCACCCGCTTCCTTCTCAGTGCTCGGTGACCTGTGGAAAGGGCTACAAACAAAGGCTGGTCTCCTGTAGTGAGATTTACACCGGGAAGGAAAATTATGAGTACAGCTACCAAACCACCATCAACTGTCCGGGCACGCAGCCTCCCAGCGTCCACCCCTGCTACCTGAGGGAGTGCCCCGTCTCGGCCACCTGGAGAGTTGGCAACTGGGGGAGTGTAAGTAGACAATTGAGTTACCAATAGGAAAACTTTGGGACTTCAAACCCAGTCCTTTTTGTTTTTTCAAAGATGTATTTATTTATGCATACAAGAGTGGGGTACAGGCCAGAGATGCCTTTTCTTATTGTTTATTTTGGAGTGGATTCACCAGAGACAGAGTGGGGAGCAGAACAGGCAGACTGACTGAAATACACTGCTGAGGGGAGCAGCAGGTGAGACAGGAGAGGCCTGCTGCGCCATGTGGGTTGCTCCCTGGCCGGGGATCAAACTCATGCTGCAGAGGCTGCGGACTGCTTCATAGTGCGGTGCCCAACCCCCTGCGCAACCAGGGAGGACCAGTCTTTTTTTTTTTTTTTTAATATTTAAAGAGCAGGTTTATTAGAGAGAGGGATAGGACAGTAAAAGACACTCGCATAGACACAAGCAGGCAAGAAGAGCTGCCCTGAAAGGGACAGGTTTGCTGAGAGAGGCCTGCATGGTTGCAGGCAGGCAGCTTTGAAGAGAGCTGCCTCTGCTGAGGGAGGTCAGTGAAGAGAAGTCCCTGCATGGTACAGGTCATGGGCAGGCAGGAAGGCTGCTGCCCTGCAAAGGAGAGTTGGTGAAAGAAGCACCTGCCTTCACAGGTGGGCAGAGGAATTACTGCTCAAACCCAGTCTTAAACACGTCCCGCCTAACCTATCCTAAGCAATTCTCCTTCTCACAGGCACCCTGGTGAGGAACAGGAGTTAGCCTCTAAAAATGGGCTCATGGGAAAAGAAGGACTGTCTTTTGGTTTGGCAGTTTGGCAGTGGGGCCTCAAACCAGGCTGCCTCATTTGCTGAATGACTTTGAGCAGTTAAATGACCTTGAACTTGGTACAAAACTTTAAGTTTCCTCACCTATAAAATAGATGGTTGTGAACATGAAATGAGTTAATACAGAAAAGCACTTAGGTTACCATATTTACCACATTTCTTTTAAAAAAGCACCTAGAAGGCCTCCCTGGTGGCGCAGGTGGTTGAGCGCCGCACTGTGAAGCTGTCCGCAGCCGCTGCAGCGCCGGTTCAATTCCGGCCGGCCGGCCAGAGAGGGTCCCACTTGGCACAGCAGACCTCTCCTGTCTCGCCTGCTGCTCCCCTCAGCAGTGTATTTCAGTCAGTCTGCCTGTTCTGTTTCCCCGCTCTGTCTCTGGTGAATCCTCTCACCCTCCCATGAATCTGGCCTGTGCCCCGGTTCTTGTATAAATAAATAAATAAATAAATAAATAAATAAATAAATAAATAAATAAATAAATCTTTTTAAAAAAAAAAGGCACCTAGAATTTTGGTCCTTAATTAATAAGGGTTATAGAGGCATTAGTTGTTGGTGCTTCTGTTGCAGGAAGTATCTGTTCTAGTCCTTCTGTTCTGCAATACCTTGGGACATTAGAAGTATAACTCGTAAGAATGTTTTAAATTGGGACCGCCAGGGAAAAATCGCCACAGCCCTCTGGCCCCTGACAACTCTGAGGTCGCTCAGTGTTGCAAAGTGATCAGGCTGAAGTGTAGAAACAGTTGACTGTGATGAAAATTTGAATCCGGGTGCCAGCATCTCCTTGAGTAAGTTTTTTAGTATTTGAGCCCCAGTCTTTGTCCTATAAAAAGAATAAAATATTATCTCATAGGTTATTAGGAGGCTTAAGTGAGAAAATTATCTACATATGTGTGTATATATGTATATGTGTATACATGCATCCACATATACGTGTAAGTGTATATGTAGAAATGTCTCTGTGCATGTCTACAACTTAGCACAGAGACTGGTCCTTGGTAAAAGTACCCACCATATACCAACTCTTTGTTTTCAGCAGCATAGCATGTAAAACGCCCCATGCGTGCCAGCAGACTCGGAGAACCCCACCCCTGGAAGCCCATGCCTGTGGGTTCCATTGGCAAACCCCCCTCTGGTCTGCTTGCAGTGCTCAGTCTCCTGTGGCGTTGGAGTGATGCACAGGTCCGTGCAATGTTTGACCAACGAGGACCAGCCCAGCCAATTATGCCCTGCTGATTTGAAGCCAGAAGAAAGAAAACCCTGCCATAATGTCTATAACTGTAAGTCAGCCAATTGAAGCCCTCCCTCTGAAGCATGAGGAATGGGGCTTCTTTGTTCATTTCTGTGCCTGCCCGTTTTAGAAAGATGGCATTTGTTTCTTTACCAGTCTCCCCTATGCTAAAAATGTTTCCATGTGAACAGTGTGATTTAGCCCATCGGCAAACATTGCACGTCTTGGGGCCTCTCATACCCCATTTCTACATTTCACCTTTTCCAGGTGAGTTACCCCAGAACTGCAAGGAAGTTAAAAGACTGAAAGGTGCCAGTGAAGATGGTGAATATTTCCTGACCATCAAAGGAAAGCTTCTGAAGGTGAACATGGGTCATCAGCCATCATTTCTAGACTGATTATAGCATAAGTGACCCTTGCTTTCAATGTCTTGTTTCTGAGCCCCTCTCGTGGATTATTTCTGGTCTGTCTTGCAGATATTCTGTGCAGGCATGCAGTCTGACCACCCCAAGGAGTACATCACCCTGGTCCATGGCGACTCAGAGAATTTCTCTGAGGTTTATGGGCACAGGTAGGAGAGCTCAGGCACGGACAAGCCCAGCATCCTCAGGATCCTTGGAAATGCCTTCCCATTCTTACCAGAATATTCTCTCTGGATTGTAGGTTGCACAATCCAACAGAATGCCCCTACAATGGGAGCCGGCGTGATGACTGCCAGTGTCGGAAGGACTACACGGCTGCTGGGTTTTCCAGCTTCCAGAAAATCAGAATAGACCTGACCACCATGCAGATAATAAGTAAGTTCAGTGGAATAGCATATGAGGATGTGCAAACAGATCCTGCAAATTGTCAGGGGTGAGGCCTTCGAGATGGAGAGAGGAAGGAACAGGAGCGACAGGAAGCTTCAATCCAGGCCCAGATAAGCCCAGGCAGGCAGGCGGGAGGTCTCACTGGTAAGCTGGGCTGCTCTTTGGTTCTCTGCTACACCCCTGGGGCCTGGAGAGCTCCCAGCAAAGAGGTGAATGGCCAGCAGCTGTGTGATGAATGAACAGGTAGAGTAGATGGAGAAATGGCAGTATGGGAAGTCAGGGGAGTACCCCCATAAATCTAACACTGAAACAATGCGTGAGGTCAAGTAGGAGTTTGCCAGGCATGGGCAACCATGTGGAAAAGCAAGGGTGGCAGCAGATATTTTAAGGTAGAAGAAATAGCAGATACAAAACCCCAAAGCTAGAGATTTATGTGGCAACATTCACCACCCCCCCCCACCCTGTTCCCACCAGCACAGTGCACACACACACATGGGCGTAAAGCTCATTTTGTCTGACTGTTGATTTACGGAAGAAAAATGGAGCACAGAATTACCTCTCCTCAACTAGCCTGCACGTAGGCTGATTTTATACTCTGGCCAGCACTGCATTTTTGGTAGGGACATTAATCATAGGAGTGGTTAAGGACAGCTAAAAGATCCAAGCACGTTCCCTGAATAGAGGAAAAGCAGAAATAATGAATAATTAATGTTTTCCTCATTAACATTGTACCCATAATAGTGCATCAGTTTGCTCTGGAGGTAGATTCAACTTGATTTGTACCAAGATATTTTTAATTGCCTTCCGCTAAACTGAGGAGGCTCAAGGCAGAGGGTCTGCAGTTTCTTCACTGAGAAAAACAGGCCAGTTAAGTTAGACCTACGGCTTCTGCATGCTGACAAGGGGCACTTTCCTTGCAGAAGAGGGCCTGAGATTTCCTTCCCCTCAAAGCATAGTTCACTGCAGAGAGGATTAAGGCCTTCTCTGCTGTTCCCCAAAGACAAGACAGAAAAGGTAAAAGCTGAGTGGGCCTTCCAGTTCCACCAGCCACAGCTTTTGCAGAATTCTCAAAATGACTCCTCCTGATCTGCATTCCCTGCTTGCAGAGCTGGTCTCTGGAGCGATAGGGGGGTTAAAGACATGAGGATTGTTTTTATTGTTGTTGTTGTTTTTTTTTTTTTTTTTTTAACTACAAGTTTGCTCCGAACTTGAGAAACTGCCATTAATGCTTTCAAGATGTGGGTTCTAATTGCTCCACATTTTGGCAATAATAGTGCCTAGGCCACTGGAGGACAGATGAAGCCTCAGGGAATAATTCCTAAGTAGCTGGAAATGCTTTTCTGGCTTATTTCCCCATGTCCCAAAACCTCTGAGGGAGTACACCGAAGATTCACCATCATCCATTACACCCCACTTAAGCAAGGTTATTCGCATATTTGTTTATATATGAATCGATTCCAAAGTCATCTTAAGCCCCTTTTGGCTCCCATGCTGTGAGGAGTCAGTCCGTGCTGATAAAACCCAGGGAACAAGGCTCTTGGAACCACAAATGTAATGAGGAAAAAGAAAGCCCACATCTGGATCCATTTGCTTACTAATCATACTGTGGTTTTTCTCTCTCCCGTTCCCTCTGATTGTTTTTCTTACCCTTCTTCCCTTCCATCTTTCCAATATCCTGTCCCTTCCCTGCCCCTTTCTCCCACTGTCACCTTTTCTCTCCTTTTAACCCTTTTCCACAATGCACAGCCACTGATCTACAGTTTGCCAGGACAAGCGAGGGGCACCCGGTGCCCTTTGCCACAGCTGGGGACTGCTACAGTGCCGCCAAGTGCCCACAGGTATGTGTATCCTCCTCCCTGATGAGCACCCACAGGAGCCCGCCCCCAGGGCACCCTGGGCTGTGTCTGGTCCTGGGAATGTGCTTAGAACAGCTGCTCTGGAAGGCAGTTTGGCCACCTGCATCAAGAGCCTGACAGATGCTCACAGCTTCTTGTCTAGTGATTCCACCCCTGAGAGTGTTTCCTAAGGAGGTGACTGGAGCCACGTGCCAAAGTTCTACATTTAGCAAAATGCATCTATTATAATAGTGAAAATTTGGACACAGTGGATGTTGGATGACAAGACCTTCAACAAATTACGAGGGTTTGTGAAATGCATATTCTACAGCCAGTGAGCGCTGAGAAACGCTCCATGACTGACTCTTCAAGGGGGAAAAAAATAAGCCTCTTTGCAGCCTTTGCCAATTTCCATGGTGTAAATATTCTCCCTGTGACTGATTTGAAGCTGTCGCCAGGACATCACTAATTAGAAAGTTGGGGGGAGAGGCACACAGATGACTCCCAAAAGCTGCTCCAACATACCACTGTCAGCTTTTAAAAATTCTGAATATTGTGTGCTCAGTGTTCAGACCAAGAAGTGCAAAGGTGTAATCTGCTGGACTGGCAGTAGCAGTGCAGCTGAATGGGAGTCGGCCTGCCCACTGCAGCTCACAAGGCCTTGCCTCCTAAGAGGCGTGGCAAGTTTTTGCTTGCCTTTTGGAACATCCTGTAATAATCAGCCCCAGCTAACTTGACAAGGCAGGCGTTCATCTTTGCAGGAAGCTTCTGCAATTAGACAGCATGACAAACAAAATGAATTAAGTGATCCTGGACAGGAGCGAAGCGCCCCAGTTCTTTCTTTGGTTGACTTAAGGTCTTCACAAAGCTGTTGTTAAACCCTGTCAGGAACTTCCCACTTTGCCCGTGAGCTCTCTAAAGTCTGGGCGTTGGGACCAGCTGATGTGTTGAGAATCCCAGGCCCTGTCTCCCCAGGATGGATTTACACCCAACCTCAGACCATCCAAAGACAAACACATCTGAATTTTCTTCTAACAAAGTGTTTTCTCAGCCCAGAGCTTTAGAAAGCATTGCTAAACATTTTCGAGAAGTGAAAAGGAAACTCTCAGGGGAGAAAGAAAATAAACAAAGGACATAATGGTAAAAAGGGCCTGTGCTCCATTACCCAGGAATTGAAAACTTTAGTTGGTGACTTCAAACACCCCTTGGTATGGGTTGCATTTAACAGCTAATAGATTGACCCCATCCTGCCTAGTTCAGATGTCTCAGATTTTCTTGTTTCTATGTGTACATCTTTTGGGACTGACCCTTAAGTAAATGAAAGCTAATTTGCATTCATTTATTTTAATAATTGGAAACAAATGAATCGATTTGCAAGCCCCTTTACTGAAGCCATTGCTAAGTGAGAAATTCCACAGCCAAATAAATAGAAGCTAATTTATGGGTTGTTTCCCAGCCTATTCTTCAAATCGTAGTGGGTACTTTGAGAGTTATTTCTGAGAGTTATTGAGCACTGACTATAGTGATAAAAGATGTGAGTCTTTCAAACTGTTTTCCAGGAAAAGGTCTGTAGGAAGTCTGATTGTGGAAGCTGCTTTAGAGCAGATGGCTCATCTGTTGACTTAATGATTGCACAGAAATCCTAGCAGAGGGGAACTTTGACAATCTGCTTCTTCCACCTCATGCATTAATATTGCTTTTGAGATTTATGTATCCATATGGGTGGGTTGCCCAAGAGCCCTCAAATGAAGACAGAGCCAGGTTCTATTTTTATCCTGAGTACATGGATGCAACATTATAGTATGTACTCATTTAATGGTGCTGATAGCTTCTTGGAAGTCATGATGTTAAGCGAAACAACATACAATGAAAGCAGGTCCTTGAATAATACCATTTTGTGCAACATCATTTCATTATAACATAGAAGAGAAACAAAGAATCCCAGCTGACCTTGATGGAAATTCCTTCTTCAAGGACCTGCTGTACAGCCATGGATGCTGGAATTAGTAGCACTTACTGAATGTTTACTATGCTGCAGGCACTGTGCCCAAAATTTCTAAGTCAGTGTAGCATTTAATCCATGGGTTACCGTGAAGGCACCTTCTGAGGGATGAGGAAACTGAGGTTGGGTGATATCCACACAGCACAGTCAAGGTTGGATTTGATCCCAAGAATGTCAGAATCCAGACGCATGGTGGCAGACATGACTGAGCCTGTTTCCAAGCAAGATTTCTGCAATTTTAACTCTTGTCTGAACAGACAATAAAACCTCTCAGTCTAAGGCGCATCTTTTGCAAACCTTTCTGGATTAAGTAGCATGAGTGATTCTTAATTACTTTTACTCTTAAATCAACAACAGGAAGTAGGAGTAAAACTTGCATGCAAGTTTTAGACCCTGGACCCTGGAGATGAGGCTTTGAGGGACAAAGATGTCCCAGACTACAGCTCAGAAGGACATTAGGTCTTTATGCTGGCAGCTCTCCACTTTTAGAGTGGTGCTAATTATCCACTAGGATGCTTGCTAAAAATGCAGATCCATGAACTGGAAAAGCTGGAAAGAGAATGAGGAGAAAGATTGGTTCCATTCAGGCCTCATGAGACTCACTGCTCATGAGACTCAGGTGGTGAGCATGGCCAGACACCAGCAGCCCCATCAAGAGGAGGCATGCTTGGTCTAGACGCCAGCTCAGTAGCCGGGACCTTCCTTTTTTTTCTTTTTTTTTTAAAGATATATTTATTTATATATACAAGAACTGGGGTATAGGGCAGAGGTGTGGGGGGTAAGAGGATTCACCAGAGACAGAGTGGGGAACAGAATAGGAAGACTGTCTGAAATACTGAAGGGAGCAGCAGGCAAGACAGGAGAGGTCTGCTGTGCCATGTAGGTTAATTCCCTGGCTGGGCCTCGAACTCATGCTACAGTGGCTGCGGACAGCTTCATAGTGCTGTGACTTAATCCCTTGCATCACCAGGGAGGCCCTAGCCTGGGCCTTCTAAGAACTTCGCAGTGCATCTGTCTACCTCTGCAGGTGGGATGGGCAGTCTGTGTGGGAAGCAGGATGGGAAGGGAGAAGGAGAGAGGTCCTTGGCCACAGGGTGATCTGGGCATGATGAACAGGGTAGAGGCCATTCTCATGGCAGGAAGGTGGCAAGATAAGAAGAGAGCCAGGTGGGGTAACGCAGCACACAGAAGACAGGGTCTGGGGAGGCCAAGTTTGCCCTACAGCTGTACTACTGCAGCTTCAATCCCAGACAACCACTGGCCTCAGCAGAGCATGGTCCTTGCAGAATTTTCAAAAAACATTTTTCTGTATCACTTACTCTTTGGCAGGTAGTGAGTTAAGTGCAAACCCCACTATGCATAGGTAAGGTCCTACAAACCATTTTACAGATGGACTCAGGAAGGTGAGCTGCTTCCCTAAAGTCTCACTAAAAGCAGAAGAGTCGGGTTTACAGGGTGAATCCATCTTCTATGCCAGGTTTCCCAACATTATTGAGGTTTTGTTGGGGCACAGTGCTATGCATAGGAGAATATTGACACCGTCTCTAGTCTCTGCCTACCAGATGTTAGCAGCACACCAGATGCTGGCCTGCCAGTTGCGACCACAAAAAAATGTCTCCAGATATTGCTGCATCTCTCCTGGGGGGCACTGACTTAAACAGATGAACCTCCCCATGACCCCTATGAGTGAGAATCCTACTAGTAGGAATCCCATCTTACAGATATGAAAACTAAGGCTGCAAAGGGTCTGTTGACTCTGGTTAGTAAATACTAATGGAACTGACATGGAGAGGAAACCAGCTAGTTACACCTAGTGCTTACAGTCTTATTTGTTTGTTTGTTTGTTTGTTTGTTTGTTTATTCATTCATTCATTCATTTATACAAGAACCAGGGTACAGGCCAGATGCGCTCCAGGAGGGTGAAAGGATTCACCAGAGACAGAGTGGGGAACAGAACAGACAGACTGACAAAATACACTGCTGAGGGGAGCAGCGGGCGGGATAGGAGAGGTCTGCCGTGCCATGTGGGACCCTCACCGATGGGCCAGGATCGAACCAGCGCTGCAGAGGCTGCGGACTGCTTCACAGCGCAGCGCTCAACCGCCTGCACCACCAGGGGAGGCCCTAGTCTTGACAGCCTTAATTGAAGAGCCAAGATGTAATCTTTATTTAAAAATTCATCAAATGTCGGTCATTCTTCAAACCATGCCTGATATAAATAAGCAAAGCAATACCAAATCTTTCCCCTCCATAAACTTATTTTTATGTTGGAGAGAGAAACTAAAACAAGATTCAGGAGCGCTATAATATTGAGATTCTACTAGGTACCAGCCACATGCTACAGACTTATCTCATTTAGTCCACACTACGCTTCTTGGAGGAAGGTATTGTTTATTACCTTCCATTTTGCAGATGGGCAAACTGAGGTTCTGGGAAGCTTTTAAAAAATCAGGATCTACTTGAGAATGAAAAGCCTGAATTCACTAGTAGAGCTGTCTGATTTTGAGCCTCCACCACTTCTTCCTTGCGCTGTTAAAGACTTTTGACAAAGTACTGGATGGTCAGGCTCAAGCAGACAGCGTTCGCCCAGAACTTGAAGGGTGTGGGAGAGTTTTAATTCTGAAACTGCACCCTGTGGACTAGAAAGCCTCCAGAAAACTTGCAGGTCCCTTTGTAGAGTGAAATACAGACAGACGAAGAAAGCAAGAGAGAACCTTTGCTGCACCATCTGCTTGGAAATGCGTCTGAAACTGACGACATTTTGAGGCCAGTTTTTAAAAGGGATCCCAGAGCGGTTTGGAGAGCGGGCTTCTCTGCCCTGGAAGCCGCTGCTGGGCCCCGGGGGTTTCGAGCGGGCCGCGCGCGCCCTCCAGTGGCCGCTGCGGAGAACGCGCTGTCTTTGAAGTCGTGTCCCGCCGGCTGTGCTGAGTACACGGTGTCCTCGGCGCCGCGGGATGCTGCAGCCCCGGCAGCTTTGGCAGCCAGGTCTTGTTTATAAAAATTACTCTGTGGCATTTTGTGCCTGAAAAAAAAATCTGGTCATTGTGAGCAACACCGGGATTGCTGTGTTAGGGAAGCAGAATGGCGGTGGTTGAGGACGAGGAAGTTGAGTGGAGAAAATGGGAATTGAACTCCCACTCTGTCCTCTGTTTCCCCATCTGTAAAGAAAACCCCCTTTAGAGAGAGTTCTTGCGAGGATAGATGAGATGATGCGTGCAAAATGCCAGGCCCGGACCTCGTCCCTAACTAGTAGCTGTTTTAATTAACATCCTTCTTTACAAGGTACCGTTTTGTGTGTGTGGTATGGACTAAAAATCTTTTCTATGGGCCATTTATTTCCAGGGTCGCTTTAGCATCAACCTTTACGGGACCGGCCTGTCTTTAACAGAATCTGCCAGGTGGATATCCCAAGGGAATTACGCGGTCTCGGACATTAAGAAGTCGCCGGTAGGTTGCTCAGGGCTTGGGGGAGGGGCTGTTTTATCTCCCTCCCTCTGTGTCGGTGATGCCGGAGGAACCAGCTAATGCACTTTCCCACTTCCTCAGACCATTTTTGCAGAGTGTCAGGAAGAAAATGTAGGGAATAAATCGAAGGTGAAGTGTAAGGTGAAGGTGAAGTGTAAGGTGAAGGAGAGTGGGGGACAGAGTCTTGCTTCTCTTCTGGTGGATCTTCCTGGGAACCTGGGAATCAGCGGTTAGAGGAAGTTTAGGCAGGAAGCTGAAAGCAGCTGGAGGAAGCCTGTGATGGGGTGTGTGGCTCGGGTGCCTTGCACTTAGCACCAGGTCCACTTTTGTCAACTTAGGGCTAGTGATGTTTGTTTCCATGCGAATGGGGCTGAAAGAAGGGCATAGCTTATCAGGTGGCTTTTCTGGAGAGTTGGAGAGACACTCAAGGACTCTGCATTGACTTTTATGCTCTAAAATCTTGCTGCTGGAGGCATGGGCTGCACAGAGCATCAGCATCACCTGGGAACTTGTTGAACATGCAGTTTTTAGAACCCCAGACCTGCTGGAGTATCAGTAGAATGTCCCCATATGTCTCAAGCAGGTGCAGCAGCTTGAGAAGCACTGATCTCTGTGAATTTCTCACCTGAGTGGTGTATACTGGACGCACAGAGGATGGCTCAGAATGCATGTGCCCAGGCCCTTACCAGCTCCACTGCATGGGAATCTTTGACCTGGGGTAGAATTGCATACTCCCTTGGGTGATTGTAATGTACAGCCAGGCAGAGATCAGAAATCGCTGCCCTTCCCAACCTTCCTGAAAATGTTCTGAGAGTGTTCCATAGAAACCTGATAGGGGCCAAGGGGACAAAGAGGAAATTCACCAGAATATAGCTGTGACCCCAACCTTCTCAACCAAGACCCCTGTCTCAAAAGTCTTCATGAATATGGGTAGGGGAAGATGAATACCCCGCTTATGAAAGTGGGGTATTATTCAAAAGTAAGGCTGCCAGACAAAATACAAGATACCCAGTTAAATTTGAATTTCAAGTCAACAGGAACATTTTTTCACTAGAAGTGAAAACACTTATTTCATGGGAAACACTTATTCTCAAAAGTATTTGTTATCTGAAATTCACACCCTGTGCATTGGGCCTTCTGTGATTTTATTTGCTAAATCTGGCAACTCTGTCAAAATCAGAACATGAAGAAGTTCAACCTCTTTCCCCCAGGAAAGGAAGAAACATTCAAAGGTCATTTTGCAGGAAAATCTCAAGAGATTTGTTTTTTTTTTTGTTTTGGGTTTTTTTTTTTTTTTTTTTTTTGCCATCTCAAACGTGTATCTGTAATAAAGCTCTTCACTTACTCTTTTTTCTCTAAGCCAACCATTGACCTAAATATGATTAGCTAAGTGGCCATTAGGATTGTAA